CATGAAACAACGAGAAAGTGTTACAGAACACTTAAGTACACCATCATGGCGTTCATGCCATAATATTAAAAGCAATATGGGTTTATTGATGGGGCTACGTTTCGTGTAAACAAATGAAATAACAATAACATAATCGTTTATATTTAAACAAAACAGGGGGAACAAACGGAATTCTAACTTGGCAGATAAGTATCATAATTGTTGGTGCCGTCGTGCTTATAATTATAATTGCAGTACTAAGCTTCTTGATTTCGCGAACCGGAAAAGCAAAGCCTAAAGGTTTGTTTATATTATTACACGGATCTTCTGCATTACTGCATCTCATTCAAAAGACTTTCTCATAAACATGTTAGCTTAGATTGCCATGATTCATTGGGTATATAGATTTCACAATTTCTTCCTTTTTTATTTTCAGATCTTTCAAATAATAAGTGAGTAAATCATTGAAAACTTATATTGATATTCGACGCTAGATTCACACAAGTTGCATTAGCGACTAGACCAAAATAACTCAGCATTTAAGTATTAATACAGTATATGCAATTCTAATTCAAATGACGGGATTCGTATTTGTACTGATACTATTAACTATTGATAAATATTAAACAAAATATTTAATTGTTACATGACATAATATGTAATATTTATTTTTTAAGTGCACTGATTGCTGGATTTCCTACATCGGGGGATACTGTAGTAGAAAACGAGTATTTTGACAACCCATTTACAGGTAATATACGTTAAAAATACTTGTTGGTACAATAATTTAAGCTTAACCCGGCAATGTGTACGGGCACGTGGCAGCAGTTGATAATTGAATAACTATATTATTTATAGAAGGCATGGCGTGCGTCTCTTTGTAGTGTTGAGTTGTACAGTACAGATAACAAATGCATATAGTTTGAAGCCCCATTATGGTGAAGAGAGTTCGCGTTGGCCTGGAAAAAACCCTCAGAGTGTACGCAAGGCGTTTTTGTAATCTAGAAGACATCAACGTCTACAAAATTTGCATAATATGTGCGCGATGATCTATTTATAATAAATATTATTTCTAGAAATGTTCCAGTTATTTCACGCTGTCAGTCCACGTCTGTGGATGTGCAAATACGCACCACCCTGTGACTTACCAACAGTGTGACATCACTCCTTGGTTCATATTTATACAAAACTGATGATAGTCACTTGTGTCCGTTGGCGTCAATTTATGAGAAAATGTGATATATTATGAACAGGTATTACATATACAGTCTTAGAACTATATTGTACCTATTTTTACATTAGTAATACACTATTTTCAGAAACATCTTTGACAGCAACGAATAGTCGAGGACATTGAAGAGCGCAATGGTAAAAGACCACCATCTGCCGAAATCCCAACAAGCTCAGATGAAGTGACCCTGAAAGAGGTAATAAGTTTAAGCCAGACACTCTTGTAGTATTGTTCTCCAATGACTGACACATATACTATTTCTTGTTCTAAACATATCCGTAATTCAGTGTTGCGGTAGAAGATTTATCTCCAAACATAAAGAAATGTCGATGATAATGATTGTATTCTGCGTGTAATTTCTCCATTAGGGTTCCCAGAGTGATGGAAAAGAGATTCTTTATACTACAGTTACATTCGAGAAAGATAGTGACAAATATGATCAACCGCAAACTAAACCAGCAGAGGAAACAGTTGATTATGCCACGGTTGTTTTCAAAAATGCGCCAAAATATTATCCTATAATTTGATTTCTTCATTTCCGTCTTAGTCGTATTGAGATGTATTGAAATTGATTTTTAAATTACAGATTTTATTAAAAAAATACAAATATGTTATTACCTAAAACAGATAACAAAATGCTAATTGAATGTCTGACTTTATGGATGACATACTTCTTTGTTGATTTTCACTGATTTAGTAAGTTCAACAAATTTTTCTCTACGTTATATTGTTCAACGCGTATTTATTCAGAATAACGAATTCGATTACAAATAAGTAAGCAAAAAACAATACCATTAAATTGTAATGTTAATGTCATGTCAGTTTCACCTCAACATGTTTTTTTTTTTAAATTTATTCAAGAGCCTGGAGCATTTTGTATTTTTTTCATATTCCAGCATAATGAAGTACATACATATATGTTGATGATTTTAATAAAAGAAAGGACAGTCTGTTATTTTTACCAAAATTCAGATCACCGAAGTTTTTTTAATGTTATGTAGAAAAGCTGACAAAATAAATGTTCATACTTACAACAATTTGTCTTACATTTTTTAGTCCCCGTTCGGACGTAGTCCGAAAACGGGGACTTATGTTTTGCCCTGTGTGCGTCCGTGCGTCAGTCCGTGATCACCTGTATCTCGAACATGCATGGACCGATTAAGTTCAAACTTCACGCATACATCACACATTATATGGGACATATGCACATGCATTTTTTCCATGATCCGATTAACGATAGCCGAATAGCGGCCATTTTAAGGCCGAAAATGCATCAAAATCGCACATTTTCACCATTCCGGACCCAGATCTCAGTTATGCATGGACGGATTTTGTTCAAATTTGGTACACACATTAAACATAATATGGACCTTGAGGCACGTCTTTTTTTCCGGATCAAGTTCGAAATGGTCGACTGGCGGCCATTTTGTTTTAAAAAATTCAGTTCTTGATCCGTATCCGAGACATGCCTGGATTGATCAAGTTCAAACTTCACACACACATGGTACATCATGTCACAAATAGATATGTGCATTTGTTTCATGATCCGATTAACGATAGCCGAATAGCGGCCATTTTAAGGCCGAAAATGCATCAAAATCGCACATTTTCACCATTCCGGACCCGGATCTCAGTTATGCATGGACGGATTTTGTTCACGTTTGGTACATACATTAAACATAATAGGACCTTGATGCACGTCATTTTTTTGGGATCGGGTTTGAAATGGCCGACTGGCGGCCATTTTGTTTTAAAGAATTCAGTTCTGGATATGTATCTGAGACATGCCTGGATTGATCGAGTTCAAACTTCACACACACAAGGTACATCTGTCACAAATATGTATGTGCATTTGTTTCATGATCTCAATAACGATAACCAAATGGCGGCCATTTTAAGGCCGAAAATGCATCAAAATCACGTATTTTCACAATTCCGGAACCGGATCTCAGTCATGCATAGATGGATTTTGTTCAGATTTAGTACAATGTGTTGTACATATGCAGGTGCATTTCGGTCATGATTCCTATGGTGACCCAGTACATCGACGACATATTTGTATGTACAGCGTTACGTAGGCAAAGTTGTATATGTAATATCTCGTTATTAGTGTCAGATGTGACAAATAAAAGCCGACTGCAAGAGCAGTATGCACATTTGTTTCAATGTCGTAGTTTATATTTCGCTCTTCAAACAGTATATACAACTTACTTCACTATTATGTTCACCTACTTAACAACGGCCATATATTTCAACAAGCAATAAAAAAGGAATGATATTATTCCCCTTTATATACACACTTTGATTTTAAAAAGCTCGTTAAGTACCGATTTATAGGAGTCCATTACTCAGTTTATTGCAGAACGGTACACTCAACTACTTGACCCAGTCAATCCCGCACTCGGATGTAAAGTACGACAGTGCCGCTGGTACCCGTCACTGTTAATGTTATTTATGTCATCTGTAATTAGCGTGTATGTGTGCCAAGCAAACCAAGTATTGTTACCTTAATCATAAAAGAAAATTACATATAGTATGATAAGTGTTATAATTTCTATATTTAATAATTAGTTCGATTATGTTGTATGAGCGGCTATGACGTCAGTTCTGAAACAATTTTAGCAGATTGTGCTCAAATTGATGAGAATTTGAAAAAAATAATAATAATTGTACTATTCCCAATGTGACGCCATAGCGCATGCGTGCAGGCTGAATTTACAAAACGGATCCAGCCGACTGCTTCGATAACAGCAGACGACATCATTAGGTGATGTCGCCCTATTTAACATAGGTTGAGCACAAATTTTACAAGAGCCGCCAAAATACATTCAGTGGAGTTATGAAGTTTGTATGCCAAGCTACGACAATTTTAATTTATTTTAGCTCATATATAAGTTCCATAAAGTATCGAGTGTCACACGGAACTAGTCGCACGTACAATGGACAGCACATTATTATAGCGCAGTGCTTTCTGGCGGGTATCCAAACACCCACTGTGTAACTGTAATAAGAGCAAAAAACACTAACTTAGTATAATAGCATAAGCTGTTGGGATCCTGTATACAACAATTTGTACACCTTGCCTTCGAAAAAGATTTGAAAATAAACGGTAAACAATGAGCCAGATTAATTTGAAATTAAGAAAAACATGCCGTATAATAAGCACTTGTTATATGGGCATAACTATTTGAGTTGGCTTTGGTAAACAAGTACGTGCCTTAAATAATAACTGGTTAACATGTTGGCATATTTAGTGTAATTTATACAGTTTTAATCTCCCTCATGTAATAAAATATTATATAGCTATGTCACCGAATCATAAATCGTATGTTTGCCGCATGGTGAACTTAAAAATAGAAACGTTTGAAAAAAAAATGTTGTAAACAGTATCGGTGACCTAAATACATATTATTAGTACAACCCGCAAAACATTAACACAAACTTAAATTAATTTAATTAAGCAAAATTTTGTATTGTGTTACGCCAGTTGGTATGCAGCACGTGTTACTGGTATAAGCACACACATTCTGCGTAGATATGAAATGTGCTACCCAACCACACAGCTGTTACTAGGCACAGGACGAGTGCAGGCCACGATTATTTATTGCTTTTACTTGTATAGACTTGTTTACCCAACCAGTGTTTGCTTAAGTTCCATATATCACACGGAACAGAGTGGTGACTGGGGAGCCGCTGCATGAGTGGCTGTTGACCCATATCATTAACGTGCTATATGCATACATTTACTAAGGTCCATTTATGTATATCTTCCTTTGGTTATGTGCAGCTCTCTTTATTAAATGGAACGCGGAAATAGCGGTTCACCCCGCCTACTTGTCTGACAATTCGGTTCGTGAATGAGGGCTCTGAACTTTAGTGAACTAAACGTTGAAATGAGTTCTCGTCGCAGTTGCAAATGCAATGGTGGTAGCGCTGTAAGCATGGCGCTGATGACATGAATTTTATATGAGTGCTTTTCTATTGTTTCTATTAAAACTGTGTGTATAGCAAACGAACTACGAATGTCATTGCGGCGGCATTGTTTTGAAACATATGTCACATAATGGTAAATGACATATTTTCCCACTGTTCCTGTCGAAATAGGGATATACCCTTACATATTAATATTATACCTGGGGTTACTTTCCTGGCTGTATGATAGAGAGTTACAGCCAGCAATTCCGGGCCGAATATTCTTAAAGACACTTTTTTTAAAAATAAATAAACAGTACCCAAGAAATTGCAACACGTCGTGCATCCAAATATGATCCAGACGACACAGCCCGCCCACCATAACAACCGCCACTACGACTACCCCGAAATTATACCCACCCGTCAAGATTAAGAAATATTTTATTCAAGAGTGACATTCATGACTGCACACAATCAAGACGGTGAGTCAAACAGAAGTATCGTAAACCTTTGGCCGTTATTTAGCACTGTACAGGGGGCCAATTAGGTCGTCTTTTCGGTCGTCCGAATCTCAATGCGGGACAAAGTTCAACCCAAACTAACCATGTATTAATATAAATATGCAAATTATTTTAGTCTGTTACAATTTTCAACACAGTACTGTGATTTGAAAGATTCCAAATATATCGATCAAATAGCAAAGAACGCGTTAATATTCCATGCAAATCGATCTGTCCATATGCACCCATGACCTATTTGCATTAGTTTTATAGATTACGGAACTACCTTTAGAAAGCACAAACAAGTCTGAAAGGGTGGATTATAATTCATCCACAAAAAGGGGCGTGTGAACTGTTCAATGTACGCTCAGGAAACAATGATACATTGATAGTCTATTGAATACATTGAAGAAGTAGAGAAAAACGAAATCTCAACGACATACAATGCACATAATGGGGAAGCAGTCGCAGTTTGGAGTTTACAATTTGATCCATAGCTTGGCACTGAAAGAAGAAGTCGTCGATATTATTATAAGTATCGAGACTATGTTGGAATAAATTAAGTGTCGATTTCTGCAAAGTTTCTTTTGAAACAAAATTCTATACTGTGCTATGTGAATGAGTTACCAATGGGTAGCCCCCTGTGCCTGTATGGTCGGACGCCAGCAGAGCGATTAGACGTGCAGTGTTTGGTTAGCGTATACGGTATGTGAACTCAAGATCGCGTGCTTAGTTGACGGACCTAGCCCGATTACCTTACATTACAATGTCGCTTGTATACGTAATTACGTCATCATTTCGTTTATCTTGTATTTACATCTGCAGTGAGTGCCAGTAACCGCTTTATAAATGCAAGCTACTTTATTAAACGTCTGACGTTAAGACGCCAAAACATGAGCATGTATTTTCATCCTTAATTGGCATTCTTTGTTCGCCCAACCTGAGTTTATTTGACTATTGCAAAACGGACCAAATGACATATGACAGGCTGTGAACGCGATGAACTAGAACGGTTTCGTGCCAAGACATGCGCCTTGGGCCCTGTATTCAACGCCTTACATCCCCTTGTCACGACATACTATTCAATTAGT